CGTCAACCCTTTATCTACGAATGCTCTGACCTCACGAACCTTCTCTCACACAATCGAACGGAATTTGCGATCACGTGGTATTTTACAAGCATTTTTCGTGGATACATAATTAATGTATATTTCATTATATGTAATTTATATTCAATATATATATAAATTGTAAATGTTCACTGTACGAACAGTTTTGCTTAGAAAGACCGCTGGCAACGTTGCTCGTTCGTAACGGGACATTCCCGCATAATACAAACACACAAGAAACCGCTCTGTGTTTAATTCCCTTTGCGCAACGTAGACGCGAGGATCCAGCGGACCGTAGACAGAGGGCCGACCTCTTCCCAACTTCCAGAGAAAAACTTAACGCGCGTCGTCGCGCGCATCAATCTCGGTGCACGCACGTGCGAATATTATATTATTACGAAGTTTCCTAGCAACACATCACAGTCAAAAAGCATATCGCTACGTGACGAACGGAATCTGGCTCCGTTACGCGGTGACTCCGTAGCAGCGCGACGCGAGGAAAAACGCGGGGGGGAAAACCCAAGAGTACACCGTCGCGGGTTTATGCGAGAACGGCAGAGTGTACGTCGCGGAGAGAGCGAACAAGAGAGTGAGTTTCGTTGTTCGTACACCCCTATACAGCTGCACTACATTGCTAGCTAGCTCTCTCTTTCTCTCTCTTTCCTTTTCGAGACCGCCAACTCGCTATCACGGCGGAACGCGAACAAGATAGAGGGATGTAGCGCGATTGTGCGACATTATTCACCGGCATCTCTTCGTCCCCGGATAAGAGAAGGTGGAGGAGGAAGAAACGTCGCGCGACCATTTCAGAGGACAGGACTCGAGTTTCCGAGTGTACCGATGTCGCGATGAAAGACCTGTAGTAGCTGTACGATTTTCCCTGACGATTCTCTCGAGCGGGAACGGCCGGATGGGAGAGACCGTGACGCAAGAACACCAGGTGTAACATTCCCGTGGATGCGCACTCGTGACCGGTCAGAAAATTTGCCCGCAATGATTTGCGGGTGAACGCAGCCTAGAATCAATGAACAATCTGCCCCAAAAGTTGGTCGTAACGTTTCACCTTGTATTTTTACATCATGGGAGGACTTCCCTTGTCGAGTTGCGGAGTGCGAGTCATCGAGTACCTCGATTCGACTTCCTCCCACGTCGAAGACGTTTCGTTGGACGGTCGCGAGGTACCAACGGCGGGAGTCGAGGAAACAGTGTGCGCGATAAGCCCCCACGTGAGAGGAGAATGGGCCACTCGTAAAATGATATGTCATGACTCCGCGATCGAGTCTTTCGGCGACCGTCACGAGTGACGCTGCCGAGCCGATAAATTGCATCACTCGCTTCTCATTAGGCGTAGGATTCCCTTTTTTGTTCCCTCGCGAAAACTGCGAGTTCGGCGAGAGCGTTCGTCTTCCCGTTGCGCGACTCGCGAGGAAACGCAAGCGAGGAAAGATCACGAAGAAATTTCGACGGAGAGATTCGCGACTCGCCGAGGAATCCAATCAAGTGGGAGCCCGAGAAAGACACCGTCCCGAGCTCGCGAGTTGTCACCGGAGAAAGTTCCACGAACGTGGAGGCTGCCCGCTCGAGGCTTTCGAGAGATTGGATCTGATCGATTTCCGACCGGGAGGGAAAAGTAGACGATTGAAGTGAAGAAGAGGGAGAGACAAGAGAATCGAGATGTCCTAACTTGTAATCTCCAACTAATCGGGGGATCCCCCGATTCCGGTACTTATTACACTTATCCGCGACTCGAGTCCGACCGGTTAATTTCGGTAAACCCATTAGCGCATTGTCGAGAAGGAAACCGCGAGTTCTCGAGGCCGAAAGTTGCGCATGAACGTGTCCCATCGGCTTTGCACATAGTATTAAGAGATAATGCACGTGAGATTATGCTACTAATGTGTGTATATCTAAGTGTGCGTGTTATATACAGTAATTCACGCCTCGCTAATATTGGCACTTGGAGTTTTTCGTTTTTTATCCAACGAGTCGAGAGGCAGCAGGGAAGAAGCGTGTGTGTGTGAGAGAGAGAGAGAGAGAGAGAGAGAGAGAGAGAGAGAGAGAGAGAGAGAGAGAGAGAGAGAGAGAATGTCAGAAAGAAAGAGAGGGGGGGGGGAGTTCGAGCGTCGTTTGGACCTTTTGAGCTTACGATACGATTGCGTCTAAAGTGATTTCTGGAGGCAGTAGCGTGTACGGCACACGCGTTTAGACATAAGGGCACTGATTTACCGCTCGATGCGTTTACCGGTTCCCGGCTGCCTTGAACAAACATCGTGGATAGTCGCGTCTTAGGCTGGTTGTACGACAAATGTTTCCAAGCGTGTTGATTAGCTGCAGGATAAGAAAGTCCTAGAGTATATCTAGCAATTTTCCAGCTTGTAGCCAATCAACGTGCTTAAAAGATTTGTCGCACGACAAATGTAATATCAGCCACATGCGGTGTCTACAATGAGATCTTTAAGACGTAAGATTTAAGACAGTGACCTATCACAATCGAATGTGAGGAGAATAATCGACTGCGACTGGTCATTTTCTTCAATCTTACGTCTTGAAGATCTCATTGTAGACGTCGCATTTGTCCGGGTCTACAGTAGGTGTAGTAAGCCTCAAGGCGTAAGAAAGCGATCAACACAGGCGGTTATTCTCTTCACTTTCGACTGCGATTGGTCAATTTCTTACGACTTAAGACTTACTATACCTGTTGTAGACCCGGCTTTACGGACGAAGCGGAGAGCTTCGGTCTAAATTACACGAGGAGGAATAACATCCGCCGAGATCGGCGCGACTCGAGGGGAGTCTCTCCTCCAACAGAATCGAACAATCGTCCCCTGCCCCCGCGCCATTAACGGGAACAAGACTATTTTCTAGCATAAGTTTTGATTCTCTTACGCACAGCGGGCGTATTTGTGCGAGCAATTTCTGTGTAAAATGCCGATACATCCGGGCCGGATGTACTGATTTGGCGCGATCGAGAGAGAATAATGCCTTTACTTTTGTTTAGGGGGAACAGCGGTCTCCAATAACGATCATCTTTCCTCGCAAAACGAAAACGGAGCGACGAAAATGAAGGTGCGAACGTTGAACGTCAAGTGCGGCATTTAAGAGCACTTACTCTCGCGAGGGCTACGTAGGCATCGCTTGTGTACATTTTGAGTTTTAAGGGAGGCGTGAACGAGCCCGATGGGAAACCGGCGGCTCCGTTTAAAGTTAAATCGCGCGAGCTACATGTCGCGGTCGATATTACCATATTTCCTATTATTTGAACATCGTTTCGGTTCAACTTCTTTGGCACTGTTTACATTCTTTCATTCGGCCGGGCTGGACGATCGATTGTGGTCGGTCGACGGAGGACGAGAGCGTTTAGTCGAACGTGCTTGTTCAAGCTCAAGTAATAACTCACAGCTAAACGGAGAACACTGCCTACCGATTTACAACGTAATCGTAGCGAACGTTATTTACAAGTGGTACAATTTACAAAGGGCACTGACTGGTATAACGTGGTAACTACAGACCTGAAAGAAAATAAAAAAAAAACCGCGTTCGAGTCTCGGCCGCGAGTCTTTACCGAAAAAACATTTCACGCGCCAGTATCGAACTTGTGTACGGCACAGCGTTGTCAACGCTTCGCGTTGATTCAATTGCAGCTGATAAAAATCGTCGGACCAGCGAGTGTAAATAAAACTATGAAAAAGACGATATTATTCCTCTCGTATCTTTCCTATTATATATTTTTTTAATGCAAGTAGATTCGAGCGGACAAACGAAAATGTATATATAAAATTATGAATATAATAACTCAAACGGTTCCTTCCGTTTTTAAATGAGTCCCGACTCGAATTTGCAGTTAATTATCCGCGTGTTAATATTCATGCAATAAACGTACACATAAATATTTAGATATGGAAACGCATTATCTTTTCAATGCGGCTTACATTATTGTCCAAGGCTGTGCCATACGTTCGATCGCGGCAACTTGCACTCTTTTCTTCGGCCGTATAATATATTTTCCCCGACATTTCGCGTAAAGACTCTAACCGAAGTATCCTAATACATCTGACCTCGTATATTACGGGTTCTTAAAATGAGTTCGCATGGTGCAATGCGTGTTGTAACATTACGTGAGATTATTTATATCTACAATGACTTTCGCAACGTGTCGTATTGCACAACTATAAGAGAAATTCTACAATATCGCTGTTTTGTAATAAAAAGTTCATTCCATAACAACGAATTTTTTAACATTTTTATTATGTGTGTGTGTGTATATATATAGATATATGTAGATATATATATTAATCAATTATAAATAACTAGACGTCATTAAACAAAGAAAAGTCGATAAACAACCCGGAATCGTTTAATATTCAAGCAATTGTCTTGGATTTATAAACTCAACCAATAGCATTAGGTAATAATACAACTATTGTGTGTTTCACTGTACTGTATGTATCAAAGAGAGAAAGAAAGAAAGAAAGAGAGAGAGAGAAACATAACTTGTTGAACGACATTCTAATTTATCCTATTGCTGATTGCAAGTCGTTCAAATTTAATAACGTCCCACGACAATTGTATGAATGTGCTCAGGAACAACGTAGGTAATAAGAGGAAAAGAAATCGCGCGAACGCGGGTAATGATAAGATTTCCGCGAGGAAGAAACATGTGTAATACGATTAATTCGTCATCATACATATTCGGCAGACCGTTTTTCTATCGAAAGCTTGTCGCAAGTATTTTTATTACCTGACAAACGTGCCCTTCTTTCTTTATATCCGCGGCTCGACGGATGGCATCGGGCAAATTATTCACCGTCGTAAAAAATGTGTTAATGAGCAATAAAAAGACTAGGATTGTCCGGAGGAAGTAACATTGCGTACCGCAATTAATTGTTTAACGCGTATAGAACGTTTAGTTGCTCGGTCGCTAAAAAACTGTCAAGCGCTTAGGAGTTACGCTAACTTTTGGTAGAAACGCACATAAACAATGATTAATTTAGAAAAGATGCATCTAGCACTACTTTTATTATAAAAACTCTCGAAAAAACTACGTTTGTTGTGATACATACATGTGAAATATAACACATTCAGTAGACAATATATTGGATATGTCATCTATTTGCACAACATTTAAATGAACAATTTTCAATGATATCCTGAGTACGATAGATTAGTCAAAAGCTAAAATATTAAAAAATTTGGCACCATGGATTTCCGTAGCAAATTCCATCGAAAAAAACAACTTGAGAGTTCTTGCAATGTACTCGACGTATGCAGACATCACGCGTACTTTATCAATTTGAATAATAATATAATAACAACAATAGCAATAATAATAATAATTACGAATAATATTAATAGCAAAAATTACAATATAATTGTTAATTATAATAACTGAACAAAAGTATCTTTTACATGGATTATTACGAAACTGTACACAACATGCGATATTGTCGTTTAGTAATTATTAATGATTGACAATTATTATAAAAACTATATGTCTCGTATTCATCTTTTTTTTAATTTTTCCTTTTCTTTTACAGAGAAGCCGTTATCGCACTGCGCCTTCTTTCCTTATTTTTCATCAATAGTTAAAACTAAAAAATCATAAAGATTAGCATAACGTGTATGCTACATCTTTAAAAACAATCGTCTTTTCAAAACTGTTGTGGGATCAAGATCATTTGGCTTCTAAAATGAATTTTCTAAAATGAATTACAGTTTTAAATGTACAATTGAGTCGTTATTTTGCGCGGACGAGCAACAATTTCCTTTGCTTCTCGTTTCTTTTCCCTCAAGGCTGTTTACCGTATCGTTTTCTTTTCTTATCAACCAACCATACCTATCAGATAATCAATACGCTATCATATAGAACGTATTAGCGAAGGAAAAAAAGAACGAAGAAGTAACAAAGAATCGTAAAATCGCCGAGTACTACGGTTTCTCTCTCACCTACGAAGGAACCCGTGTTTACTCATTTTTTTACCAAGCCCTTTCTCAAGTTGCGACGAGCAACGCACGAATCGCGCACGAGAGGATTCGTGCCAGCTCGTGGATAAAATGTATGCCTGTATATGTTATGTGTCTTGCGAGCCAGTTTTCTTTCCTCCTTCCGGCGGACAAAAAGAAACCCGGACGTGGCACGCGGTAAGCCTTATTATCTCTTGGACCCTCTTCTCACAATCTTATCATTTTTTTTGTTTCTTTTCTGTTATTTACGTACTCTTAAAGTGGACGCCACACCTGGACGTGCGCACGGTAAGTAACTTATTACAGAGTTTAACTACTTTTTCTTTCCCGTTGCGCCTTCTCTCTTCGATTTTCCACGTCTTCCTTAGTCGTCGCGGGACCAACTTTAAATCTCTGTATGTCCCAGCACAATTTTATATTCGCTGATCGTCAAAATGCCCTTATCTTCATTTCTCTATGGATTTCCGTATTTCTCTCAATTGCCTATCTCTTGAATGCACTCGATTGTCATCAGCCTTCATCACGCAAGTATTAGTATTGGTCGAAGTTGGCGCGCGAGCCCTTACCGTGATGACGAGAATCGGCGAGGTCGTCGCCGTTGTAGAAACCGCCGCGATCGTCGGCTCTTGCAACGGAGACGCGGGGAGAATTCGCGGGAAGAGTATGTCGCGTACGACGTATATTTATCGTCGCAAGCTGATTTACGACAAATATCGTACACAAGAGCTTGAAACCTCGAGCCATTTAGAGTCACCTGATTTTTCGGCGATGGAGCACAGGAACCATGTGGACCGTGAAAGATCAGCCTTAGAACTTGCCGTGAAAATGCAGTTTCTACGGCAACGTTGACAGTACCGAGGAAGAGAGAAGGAATAAGAGGCGGTTTTTTCAGCTTATGTCAGTAATGCCGATTATCGATGCCCCCAATGTTGCTGCTGCTGTTACTCGTGGAGTTGATGCCAATACCACTATCAATGTCCGACATTCTGCCGGGGTTCTCACTGTCGTATTCTAAGATCAGTCGTTTTATATGGCTCAGCTTATTGTGCAGATAATCGAACCGTTCCTTCCTCTGCTTATATATTCGATTCTGCTTAGTCTCCTTGTACTCGCGAAATATCTGTTCCTTGGTTTCCTAAAAGGAAGGAAAAAAAACACTACATGAGTGTCCCCGTCCATTTTTGTTCAACAAATGCGACCGCTCGCGACAGAGGAAACAGTACGGTACCTCGCTCTCCATCACGTTGCCCGCTTTCTTTTGATCCTGCCACAGTTGATGCAATTGCCTGAAGCGATTCGCGGTTACGAGCACTTCGGAGTGCAACATGCGATATTCATCGTAGTTGGCGTAAAACTCCTCTTTGTAACGCCTCTTCTGCTCCGGGTTGGTTATTGTTGTATATTCCCTAAACAAAGTATTTTACATAAATATCGCATCAATCGACAAGTTGTGTTAAATTAACTCGTAACGACCTATGGAAAGAGCGTCTGATTTTCAGCTGTTATTTAAAACTATTTAAATAAAGGCGCAACAGTAATAAACGCGGCTAATGTGTACTCACGTGCGGCAGTCGAGATATTGTTCGGCGCTTTCCAGCCTTTCGAAGGCATCGGTCGGCAGCAAGACCGCGGCAGTACCATTGGCGTTATCGGCGTAAGTAGGAGCGCTGTTAGAGGCCTCACCGTAGATCGCCGCATTACTCGCTGCGCTATTCCTATTCCTGGATTCCCTCTCTCTACTTCTCTCTTCCCTCGCGCCTCGACTCCTATCGCTCCTGTCTCTCCTATCAGCGTGTACGTCGATCAAGCTGCCCATTCCTATAACGACACCACCGTCGTGTCCATGTTCGGGGTGGTTGCCCCTTTCACTATCCTCAGGTGACAACGGTGTGAAGCACGATGATCGATTGGAACCGCTTGAAACCGCGGCGACGGAGATATCGCTGTAGACGTTCCCAGTACCTCGCAGTACGTCACTGTTTGCTGTCCTTTCGGCCCGGTAATCAACGCGGCTGCCGCTGGTGCTGCTACGTTCACGCTGCGATTGCTGCCTCAATTCCCAACTCAATTCGTAGCCGCCGTTGTTACTACTACTACTACCACCACCACCACCACCACCACCACTACTATTGCTGCTACCACAACCACTGTTAACGCTGGTACGATCGACGGTACGGTCGCCACCGGCGGTTGCACTAACACCACTGTTGTTATTACTATAACTGCCTCTGCCAGACACCCTTTCGCCGGCGGGGATGAAGGAGATGGGTTCGGGTCTCCTGTAGTGCGATATCCGCGGTTTCTTCGTCGGTAATCCGTCGCTACCCTGGTAGTATCCTGGTCTCTTATTACTATTAGCCACGGGCGGCGGTGCTGTGATCGCCGGCGGTGAGCCCGCATGAATGGAATTGGGCGACTGGCCGCTGCCTAAAGAGCACAAACATATTGCGAAAGATGCGTTATTTCAGATAAAGTTTCGGTATTCGTGTATGTAAATGGCGTTGTTGATAGCAAGACTAGTACACGCACCACTGGAACCACCGTCGCTCGAGCCAGGTGGCGTGAGGTTCTGAGGCTTCCGCCTCCTCAGCATTGTCCTCTCCTGCTCGGTATAGAAAGGCCAATCCTCCTGCACGTCGTTCCAGATGTGCCTGTTCAGGTGATACGTGTTGTCACGCATGTAAGCCACTTGCTTCAGGATCGTCGTCATGATGGATCGCTCTCGGTCCCTCAGGCCCTCTGGAATTAGACGACGTATTAATATCGTCTACTTCGAGGAGCTGAGAGAACATTCGGGTCTTATCTTACCCTTGGTGATGCGTTCGTAGAGTTCGGGCTTCTTGTACGGCCTCAATGCAAGGACGTGGATAAGCCTTTCCCTGTTGTATTAAAAAAAAGCAATGTAAAAAATATTCAACCCTGTCTAGTAGTGAATCTTTAACAAATTTCCTTTCTACTTGTATTTCATTGAGCAAGCTTTGAACCTTTGCGTCGCTGACCTAGCGCGGAAGATGTCTACTTTCTCTGTCGTTCTCTACGTTTCTTTTTCTACCGGAGCTTGACTTATTCTCGTGCTCATATATCAAATGCACTTACTTAAGTGGCCTGCGCATAATGTCGGAAAGTTTTTTCTCCAGATTACGAGCCGCCGCTAGGTGGTTACTACTATTATTATTACTACTAATATTAGCGATCGGCTTGTTGGTTGAAGCTTTGGGCTGACTACTGCCGGAAATTGGAATGCTCGTCGTAGATTCCCGATGCCTTGCGTACGATGACGGAGGAGGTACTGCCCTTCCTTTCACTTTCACCTTGCGTCCGATATCTGGACCGTTCGCCTTGATCACCCTCGTGCTGAAAGAGCGACATAGTTTCTATTGAGATAAACCAAAATGCACGCGTAAGATTTCAATATGCCGATTAATTTAATTGCGTAATATCGCGGGATTGGAAAGGAACAATTTTGAAATTCACAAAAGAAATGGAGCGTCGCGCTCTTAGGTACGTATCTAAAAATATTTTAAATACAAGAGACATTACATATTTCTAATGCATTCCGTTGGAGGAACCGTAGAAGCCAAGGGGCAAACCGCTGACCAAAATCATGTACACCAATGCTTACTAACGCCCAGTCACTTTATCTTGTCTTATCTTCTTGGATTCTTTATAATGCCCCAGCAAGACCAAATAACTCCCGATAATGCCCCAGAAATGCCCAACATACCTAGTAATGCCCTCAGTGGTTTACCCCTCGATAGAAGCAATAGAGACGTTATTTCTTTCCTCGCGTTATACGGCAAACATGTTCACAAGCGGCAGAATCTCTCATTTCCGTCGTGTATTTATATACAAAACGGTCCCCGCGTGACAGGCCTCGCCACGTATCCGCACAATTAATGCAATTTGCAGCATCGCCTGGCATAGGGGCCCGATCGATTGGCCGGTTATGCAATTTTCTTTGACGTGAGCGCGCGCCGCGATAAAGCGCGCTACGACGGCGAAGAGAGGCGGAAAAAGGGTTTAGCCGTGACGAAATCGCACTTGTGAGGCGCTCTTGGCCTTGGCCGTGACGGCGACTAAACAAATTAGCCGACGATGCGGATCCGTCAGACGAGAGCGCGAAACCTCTGGCGTGTCCGAACCGCGGCTAACGATCGCAAAGTATAATACAATCGGGACCAGAGCGCGCTCGCCCGTTTGCGAAAATTTGGCCGAGCAGCCGTCCATGTTCCCCGAGCGAGAATTGTTTTAACAATACTTATGTTGATTTTATTCTATGTAACATAAGAGAGAATGATTGCGAACCGTCATTTGACTTATCACATCTGTAAAATGTCAAAATTCCCTTTTTCTACATTCATTTTGTCATTAAAAATATGTCAATTTTACAGAAAATTTATTTCAAATTGTTTTGAGATTTGCATTGATTTCGTGTTAAAATATTAACAGGGTATTAGTCATTTAACATATCCATATTAAATGATATTGGGACATGTAATGTCTGTTAAATTTAACACAAATTTTTCAACTGTGTAATGAATAAATGCCATTTTTCAAAACATGTAATACGACAATATCGAACAAAGGAGGGCGTCATTTATTCTGTCATCATTGATTTCGTGCCATCCGCGCGTCTCCGAATTTCTCGAAAGAGTCCCAGGGGTATCTCCGTCCGATTTACAGGCAACGAGCGAGGCGCATCTACACGCGACGACGTGCCGTATCGGAGGTACCGTCCGTCGACCGGAGGTACATCCTCGGGCGCGCCATTTTCCGCGAAAATTCCCCGCGACAACGCGGCGACGAGCGAGTCGTGCGCGCGTTGCGGCACTGCGCGACGCTCCTCGTAAATTCCCTCGTGAATCGCGCCAGCATCCGTCAGGAGACCGTAACTACGGGCGAAAGTTTGTAAGAGCGAGGCCGCGACGCGGGGGATTATTTACGGTACCGCCGGCGAGCGTGGGTGCCGCGCCGCGCGGAGGAAAGTCCTGAAAATTGGGAGAAAAGGAGCGAGCGCCGGTCGCGCCGGCTCGCTCCAGAAGGAAGAAGGATCTTCCGCCCGGGAGGATCGAACGGCCGTATGTCCCCGCTCCTCGAGGGAGCGCCCTTACCATTTGTTCTTGTTATTCTCCTCGGCGACCGCCATTCTGTGCCTGGTGGTCTCGTAAACGTCATCGTTTGCCCGTATCCGCATCTTGTACGGTATAGCGCCGAGGCTCTCGAGGCTCCTGCGAGAGAAGAGAAACAACAAGGTAATAATAGGAATAAAAAGACCTCTTCTGGTGGTAAGACAACAAGGATCTCTCGCGAGCCGAGAGGCAATCCTTTAGTGCCCATCTACGATAGTGATTTAAATCCCGAGCCTTAAGAAATTGACTAATCACAGTCGCGTACTCCACTTGACCGTGATTGGTCAATTTCTTAAGGTTTAGGGCTTAAATCGTCCGCTGTAGACTGGGACTTGAGCAACTTGCGTCTCGCGCGTTTGTTCCGATAAAGAAGACGAACAGGGACGCGAGATCGAAAAATGTGTGGAAGGGATTGAGATGTTTGATTTCGCCCAAGATATTATTATCAACTTTATTGCATTGTATCATATCCATTGATGCGCGCATTATGCCACATTTGTACGCCAACTACGCGCGGAACACGCTCGAGTCCATTGTTGCTCGGAAAATAAAGTGAAGCAAGCGCGAGAGGTGAGTCGGCGAGCGAATCGAAGTGCAATTTATCATCGCCGCGCGCCGCGCTGTTACGTTTTTTTTTCTTCTTCTTTTAACGTCAATTCGTCAAATCACTGGATCGTATCGCCGGACGCGGCGAGCATTAAGTAGCCGGTGCTACTGAATCGGTTCTGCTGACGCAAGCATAACCGTTCGCGACGTGCGTTAGTCGCCAGCAGTCAACACCTGCCCGCTGGCTCGCTAGCAGGCGCTTTAGTGTGTCAAGTTGCCGCGATAAAACCACCGGCTCAAGGATGCTCCGCAGTTTTTACGCCGCTCGATTTAGATTGCGGATTACGTTACGGCGCTTACGGCGGAAGATTACTCGAAATTACCGTATCGCGTACCGACTCCGTTCACCGAGACATTATTTCTCAGTTATGGCGAATCTGATAGCCCCGCTGTGGCATACATAAAATATCCCCCCCCCTCTCTCTCTCTCTCTCTCTCTCTCTCTCTCTCTCTGTCTCCCTCTTTCCCTTTTGGGGACGCTGGAAATGTAACAACGGCGAGGAATTCGATCACCGTCATTATCAAATAATGGCCGTAAAGTGGTTTAGTCCGCCGCTTTTATTCTCTTTTGATTCTCGCGTATAATGCGGCGTGTGCCCGGCTACGCGGCAACAAAATGATGTTGCATCAACAAGATCGGTGTAATCGAAATAAAATCGTTGAAATAAAATCGAAATAAAATCGTCAGTACACTGATATAAAAATATTACTTTACTCGAGAAAATTATTCATTAGGTGGCTCCTACTAGCTTATTAACTTAAGTTTTAAAAATAATAAACAAATTAAAACATGCATTGCTTCAATTTAAGTATTTATTAAATATCAAGGAATAGATAATTTTGAATTAAAAGTTTTATTTTAATTATATAAATGTTTATTAAGATGTGTACTTTTCACAGCGAAGAAAATTGAATTTTTTATTTAACAAAAATAATTATTGTATTTAATAAATAGTATTCTATATCTCACGAAATCTTTATTTGAATGTAGAAAATATGAGGACTTAAATTAATTTACCTAATATACATGGATTTACTTGAAATTTGACATTTTTATCTAAATAGAATAAATATTTAGTTCAGTAAAAAAAATACTTTTAAGTAACTCTATATTCTTAGTTTAAAACAATTTTTTGTCAGTGTATGAATGAATGAAAAACATCACATAGTTATATCTTAATATACATATATATAATCTGGATATTTAGTTCAATGCGTAAAATTAAAACCCGTAGCAATTGTATTGTCAATCTTACGAAATCATGTTTCCCGTTAGTAAGCAAAACAGTACGGCCATGTTAATAGGTGCATTCAGTGCAATTGCTCACTGAGCGGCTAAGTAACAATAGAACGTAATTGGTTCTTATCCTTTTCCAAACCGAGGAGTATTGATAATAAAATAAACTGTATTATTGTAATTACTGCGTATGTAATCGAATGTTTATCGGATATTATAAACAATTTTAATCCTTTATCTGTGATCTTTCGTCCAATTGTAAGCTACTGCGATATTAATTAAAGTATATTTTACTAGGTGTGCGTTAAATATTCAAGTATCTACGTTAGAACGAATTTGTATTATATAATCAATGTTTCTTTCCACGTCAAAATATTCCCTGGTTGTCTACTTGTCTAAAATTCAATCTATAACAATTACGCCAATTACAAATTGTATTTCACTGATTCGATAAAAAAAATCCTTGCTTCGCACATCTCACGGTCCCGCTACGCTCAACGTACAGAGGTAATGCATAAATTACCTCGCAAAGCTCTCGTTATACCGTAATAATCGATACGTACTTAGGGCCGGTCTGTTGAGCACACTCGAGGCTACCCTGGGAACCCTCCATGTCCAGGCTGCTGGAGAGGCTGAAGGTGAATCTGGACACTCCGTCGATGCATGGAAGGATGAGATGCTGAAATCAGAACGCAAAGGGTGGCCGGTTAGTCGTCGTCCTCTTAGTAAGGATCACATTAAATTATAACGAAACGACGGCCTGCGCTTTGTATCCGAGGGGTAAACCGCTGAGGGCATTGTGGTGTACAGATTTGCAGCATTACTGGGCATTATTGGGCATTTTTGGGGCATTAGTTTGGGCCTTGCTGGGGCGTTATAGAGATAAAGTAAGATAATAAGATAAATGCCCACTGTGGGCATTAGTGGGCATTGGTGTACATGATTTTGGCCAGCAGTTTACCCCTCGGTTGTATCTGTACGTATGTCTTTGCACGATCTCTCCTTCTCTCGTGCATCGCTCTCTCTCTCTTTCTCTCTCTTCTTTTACAGACGCGAGGATATACCGCCATATATAATACACCAAGTTCACCCATGTATCCCGTCCGGCTATCTATTCAGTGTCTGCCTCGCCGATCGTCAATTTTACTTACTTCCCACCTTATCTTTCTCCCTCGAACTAGGAAGTCTTCACGAAACAATAAAGTGCGCGTTTCTAATAAATTCGATTCTGCACGAACCGCTTGATAAAATATCGTCGGCATTTTCCAATCTCAGTATACACTCGAGTCGATAAAGTACTTTAATGTCGCAACACTTAAATGCTAATGTAAATGTATACCGAATAAATATCGAGGCGAGAATATTAATGCGAGCTGACAGTAAAAAGGACTGGGAGTCCGATTTGTTTACTGCCGCATAAGTGAACTGGCGACACATTTATGCGTTTTATATTGAATTATATGGACCGAACGTCGGTTTCTCGCGGAACATAACATATTCGCGATAACGTCGCTTTATGTCGAGCGACAAAGCGGCACGGCACGGCTCGGCTCAGCCCGGTCGTCGCCGCGCTCGTCTCTCGCTCGCTGCGCGTTGCATCGGGCACGAAAATCGATCCCCCCGATCGATGTTGCGAAACGAGAACGTTGCGGCGATGGGAGCGCGAAGCGTGTCGCCGTTTGCGGAATTAGCGCGTAATTCGCGGCTAGCCGGTCCCAGGCGATTGCCGTTTGCCGTGCGCGACGGGCAATCTCCACCGGCGCCGAATCAGACCGGAGAAGATGATATACACCGGCGAGCGGAGCTCGCCCAGAAGTAAACAGATCCCAAGCGGATTGTCGCGCGACGGTGACATTTCGATGACGCCGTCAGATTAGAAGGAATTCGAGCGATCTTGGATCGACGTGCGGCGCAGCGCGTGTGCAAAGGGCACACGCGACGAGCCCAACTGTCAGGCCAGGTCCCGCTCCCCTTTCGAACGCTATTATATCATTGTTACAGACTCGACCAGTATTGTATAGAGAAAAGTTCCCTATTACGAGACAAGCTCCTAATACGAGATAGCGGGGGTTCCTGCTAAATTAATAGGTGCGCCCAGCAAAAAGTTTGCTCCAAGGCGAACGAACTTTCTTTGAACTTTGACCTCAACTTTTATTTAATTTTAAAGAAATGACATCTTTATCTTAACCAAAATTTGATTGAGAGTGCAATTTCTAAAGGCCGAATCAGACTAGCAAGTGCCGACTCGGATTGGATCGGGATTGGCGATTGTTCTCTGACCAATGAGACTCAATTAAATCGCTGGCTGCTTTGCTCTGATTGGCTAAAAGAGAATCGCCAATCCCAGTCCGACCCGCGTCGACAATTGCTAGTCTGATTCGGCCTTAAGAGAATTCATATTTATTTCTTCATATCTATCAAGTGTTTCAGTAGAAGTAAATATAAATTTAGTAGACTCGAAGAAATACGATTTCAACGTATCTCATTTGTTTAACCGAACTGAATCTTTTTTCTGGGTGTACCATCCGTTGGCTTTACCGTGTATTTATTGTCCTTGGAGTGGAATGTGTCCGGTAGAAAATTCACTGTTGGATCGTGTAAATCGTTGCGAGAACAGATTTGTGACTGAATTTGGACGTTCAAGGTCTACTATCTCACACAACAGGGGTCTTCTCCATATATATTCTTACTTAGTTTCGTGCACGTTCCAACTTCTGTTCGCGTTCCGCGAGCTGCTTTTTTTCCCTATCCTTTTTGTCCTATTCGCCGAGTTTTTGCCGTACGTTTTTTTTTTGCCGATCTATGCTACCTTGTGCTGCAATCATTTTGTTTTTGTCACAGATAAGTATCATAGCAGCGGCACTTCGCCGGTGCTTTACTTCTTGCGGTTAGATTTGCAATTTGTCATTTATGCTCTGCAATTATGCGATTTATTAAACCAATCTTGCGCGTACGCAGTAGTTATTTTTGCAGAGCGGAAATCAACAGGAAATCTAGTCGACGTTCGATATTTTATATATCGCGTACATATGTGCGCGTTTAGCAATAACGAAGGTAAATGTGCCATACTGTATAAGAATAAAAAATACAAATTCCTCTTTTTCATAGGACGCGCTATACGACGGGCCGGAAATCATTTTTTTCCCCCGCTGACAAACGAGTTAACCCTTTCATGACCCTTTCACTTGAGACATACAAGTCCCACTTACATTTTCTGCCTCTCTTGATTCCTCGGGATGTTACTTGTCCCTCGGTGGGGGGGAAAAAAACAAAAAACTGGATCATAAAAGGGTTAATATTATCTCAATAGTACAGTCGAGCGGAGTTTATACAGGTTTGACAGTTTTGCATGCACCGTTTTAAGGCTGTCCCCCCCCCCCTCCCGAAGCCGACGATTGTCTAGTGAATTGATTAGAAGTAAATCTCAACGGTGGGGGAGTGTTGCCAAAGAATTGGCCGCGATTGACGCAAATACGAGCGAGACCTGCGCGACCTTTTTTCGCGAATCAATTTCATCGAGAGGCAATCGAGCGCGACTGGCCGTTTCGCAACTTTGTACACCGCCCCTCTGGGCCCCGTCGTAGTTTCTCGCTCCTCCCTCGCCCACCCGCCTCGTTCTACACCTCCCTCTCTCTCTCTCTCCGCGTATTACGCACGCGGAATCCTTTCCTTTTTTCCCTCCCCTCGCGATTCCTACGTGCGGGGCGCAGCGCAACAATTGCGTGCCAGGGCGTAACGTCGTCGCGATCCAGGTTTTGGGGAGCGTCGGCGGAGCGACATGACGGGGCGAAGCGATGCACAGTGCTCCAGACCACGTGGCGAGAAGGCCGACGAGCGTGGGCGAGACAGTGGATGATGATGACGATGACGAGACGGTGCACGCGAGATGCCTGCGTACGTAATACCACTTGAGGAGCGGCGAAGGAGGGAAGACGGGCACTTCTCTCACGGGCACTCGCATATCGAGGCCACGGGGGCTCCGCGAGCGTATCTCTCCCCTCCCTTCCCTCCGACGGGATGGATATGTCGTTGTCGTTGTCGTCGTCGTCGTGGACGCCGTCTCTTAAACGAAAGGTCGAATCGCGCGAGAATGCGATATGAAAGTTTTGTGAAGGGAGCAGGCGCGAGCGAGCAGCCGGGAGCGCTCATTTAAATTTCACTGCGCGCACGGAAGGACGGCCGGTTTTGTCCGTCTGGTTTGTCCGCCCGACTGGTCCCCCGGTCTCGTCACAGCTACATCGCTCGAGATGAGATTCGCGCGGGCAGCCGCCCATTGTGCGAGTCGCGCAAGCACCACCGTCGCGGCACATCGGGACACAGCCGGCTCCGATTCTCACGCCGTCGCTCGAATGCATGGGAGAGACTCGAGAGATCGCGCGAAGATCCGCCGATCGAGGGGAGTCACTCTCGTCCTCGGGCAAACCTCAGCGGTCCTTGGAACTCGAGCTCTCTTCGTTCGCAGACATGTCCGACATTTTTAATTGCCGCTGCGGCGATTAGGCTCGCGCCTTTCCTACCGGAAAGTTCCATACGCGTGCAGTACCGTAATGGATAATACAATCTTGCTCTTATCTCGGGAGATAAGTGCGCCACAAGTTTGCTTCGACGGGATACTAATCGACGATTCACTTGGCAAATTATCTAATTTCGACCGACGGCAAGGTTTAAAAAAAGAAAAAAAAAGAGCAGTGCACGCCAGTCAACACTTTCGTTAAGGAAAACCCGGGCTGCAAATTGATCAGAGAATCCGCAGATCAAAGTGTATCAGCGTTTCTCGGTATAATCGTGTATAACGTCATTGAGCGTTGGGAAACAATCGTACTCTATTAATCATTTATTTGTGCCGCGCGTACACAAGGTGCGACGAGTCGGACAATGTGAAGACACTTCTGCATTTGTCATAAATTCCCCCCCCCCTCCTCTCTGTTTTCAACGTTCTACTCCTATGCATTTGCGTTCTATTTTACACTGTACTTACTTCTTATCTCTTTTTATATTCTCATTTCTGTATATTTCTCATGTGCATTCTCACTCACGGCTTACTTCTTTTTGTAACAAAATTGCTTTCACGCTTTAGAGGACTTGTCCCAGAGCTGGTAATCAATAATGATTCTGATTCTCTGTCTCTCTCGCTATCGAATTGCATTTTTCGCAATTCAAGCGAGTGCCGGCGAAGGAATAATTTTAACAACGGCGACTTATTTCGGTGCAGCTTTCCGCGTATGATGCAGCTAGTAGTAGATCGCCCACCTACTCGCGCTGCCAGGTTGGGATTATTTCGGTTCTTAAGGCCACAGCAACAGCTGAGCGAGCAACGAACGAACGAACGGCGAGTGCCGCTCGTTGCATTTGTCACATTCCTGCGTGGCAGGAGTCGCCGCCGACGAGTCACATGTCTTGTCGCCTATCGGCCACGGGTTACTATACGCGCAAGCGTTCGGAATAAAGTATGAAAAAATACCGGATACGCCTTAGGGCCCAAGGGTCTTGAGGTAACGCACAATAACAGCCGTTCTGCTCGGGCCTTCACGTTCGTTTAACATGTAGGATTTTACCTATTTTGTTTGAGAATTTGGAATTACTTAGACCCGGTTTCACCTAACGTCGCTTAACTCTAGTCGAGGGGGAAACCGCTGAATTGTGGGGTACAAATTTGTGGCATTACTAGGCATTTTTGGG